TGTACCCGGATTGGAATGATTCGAAAGCCGCATTTGTTGATATGTTCAGTTTGTCTGCCATGCGTTGATCGAGTAGCGATAATCATCACTTACACATAAATGAATTCCCTTTGTCGGATACCGCGAACTATATAGTTTAACACTAAAGTGTTGATTACACTGCAAGATTGATTCAAGCAGCATGCAGCTTTCGATAATTGGGTAAATATCAATGTTATAATTAATATTGCGTGTAAACCACGCCATACCAACAACGCGTTGATTATCAGATGTACAGCTGTATTTATCATTGTAGCTGTATGCTTTGAAGCTGTACAGTGTATAGCAAGAGCGTATAAAGATATCTTATTTATCTTAAGACCTTCTATCTTAATATCTTAAGACCTTCTTTATACGCTCTTGATTGTAGCTGTATGCTCTTATAGAACTCTATTAGAGAACTAGGGCGAGTCAATTCACTACATGGTTGCAGTAAATAAAATGGACCTCGAAGCCAGTAAATGGTTGAAGCCACGTACGGACATAATGGGGATAAGGATGGATGGATACGATGAACGCAGATCATACTAGTGAAGTGTTTTGCACGAATTCCAGCATGGCGTGTGTGAATTTTAATGTCAACTACATTATGTTGAAACTTAGAGAGAATATTCAATCTCGGACTTACATGATTGAGCGATTCAATTACGTCCCCGTGAATAGTAAAAGTTAAAAAAAATATTTCCACTTTTTCACAAAATGCAAGTAATTCGGTTCACTTTTTATGGTTAAATTGCTGCATTATACTTCCTATTTTACTATATTGTTCGAAGTAAACATACGCTCGTGACTCATACATAGCCCATAGCAAGCAATTAATGTTAAGAGCATAATATCAAATCGTCCAGGTTTTTTAGATTTTTAACTAGTTAAGAAACAATCTTATCAGGTAAGAATTTGACGATACATTTAGTTCCGTTAGTACTTACTTTTAATGTAAAAAAAATGGCAACAAAATTTTTTAAATTATACATCAGAAAATTCGTGACGTAAGTCAATTTAATAACTGTTTACAGGTTATTCACTGCATAGTCTGTGTCTACCCTAACAGTTTCATCTGTAAAACTATAAAGCTGCAAGAATCGCTATAGAACTGCAAATATCTGTAGTAATATAAAGTAATAACACAAAATTCAGCGAGAATCTAGAGTAGTCTAGCTACCTAGTTGGTGATTATCGTAGGAAACGGCTCGCGTTCGACCTGTTCCCTAACGGCGTCACTGAGACTGGGCCCTTTTGTCCCTGCTTGTGCGAAGGGTCATGCTGGCATGTACAGGTTTGTTTTAATCATGAATGCAACCGCGCGGCCGCCGCGCGCGGCGCCGCCGCGGCGCGCCGCCGGCGGGGCGCGCCGCGCCGCGCCCGCGCCGGCGCGGCCGCGCCCCCGGCGCGCGCCGCCGCGGCGCCGCGGCCGCCGGCGGCCCGGGCCGGCGGCGCCGCGCCGGGCCCGCGGCGCGCCCGCGCGGACCGCCCGGACGGGCCCGGCGCGGGCCCCCGGGCGCGCGCCGGGCGGGCCGCGCGCGCGCGGCCCGCGGCCCGGCCGCGGGGCCCGCGGGGCGCGCGGCGGCCCGGCCCCCCCCGCTGCGGCCCCCCGCGCGACGCCGGGCGGCGCCCGCCCGGCCGGGCCGGGCGCGTCGGCCCGCCCCGCCCGCCGCGGCGCGCCGGGCCGGGGGCGGCCCGAGGCCGCCCGGCGCGCCCCGCGGGCCCGCGGGCCGGCCGCCCCGCGCCGTGCCCTCCCGGCGGGCCAGGGGCCGCGCGCGCCCCCCGCCCGGGGCCGGGCCGCGCCCCGCTCTCCCCCGCGCGGGCCGCGCCGCCCCCGGCGCGCGCCCCGCCCGACCCCGCCGCGTCCGCTGGGCCGAAAAACATGATAAATCATTAAAAACACGCGTGTGTGTTTATATATATATATATATATATATATTATTATATACTATATATATATATCAGGAGTTAGATAATAGGGTAGTAATAGCGGTAACCCCATTATCTACTCCTGATATATATTAACCCTCGCCCTTTCCCGTCGCCGGTTGTTAGGTTTAAATTGTGCGCATATGTAGCAACATTTCTTCTTCTATTTTCTGGTTAAAATTCTAGAGGAATGAAGTCTTTAAGCCGGTGATTAAGTAAAGCGACACGAGAAAGTTACACGCTCTACGTCTATTTAAATTACACGCACACATTAAACGGCATAAGCTCATAACGCCTCTAAACTACGCCAACCCCACCCAAATTGTTGAGAATACATGCTGCCATTGTGCGCAACAGATGTCTCGTAGGATCGACCACTAAAGTCGAAATATTCAAATTCGTACCATTACCTTCTCCATTTTGAACCATCAAATGCTGCGACCTGTACTAAAGTAAATGCTTTTCAAGGTGCCATTCTAAACCAATCCACTTTGCTCCGTGTCAGAGCTAACGATCGCCATTCTCGCCCGCGAGT